CTTTGGCTCTTGAAGAAGTGGACTATGTCTAGGAAACGTGTCGGGACACTGAGAATGCCTTCTTCTGGATATCACACACGCACTATATCATTGTTCTACAACATCTGGTGCATATATTGGGTCCTGAAGAAGTGGACTATGTCCAGGAAACTGAGAATGACTTCTTCTGGATATCACGCACTAGATCATTGAAATGTTCTTAGAACTGTGAAGTTCGGTGCCGCAGCATGTTACATGTCATGGGAATGGATTTTTCTAGAATATTTTTATGAATGATATAAAAATATATTTTTTATGTTGTAGCACTACCCCCATAGGGATTGCTGAGGAATTTGGGTCCCCCTATAGTCCTGCACAGCCAGTCATTCAGCATTTTCCACACAAGCTCACATCCGGAGACAGACACCAGTCCTTGGGTGTTGGTTTGGGTATTTATTGAGGGGATTATAACTTGGATGGGGTAAGGGGGGTATAGGACACCCAAGGGAACCAAAATCCGAGGACAACTTCCTGAACTATTCACAAGCTTCTCCTTCTTTAGAAACACTGTCTCTGTTGGAGTGCTGGCCAGTTGTCCCACCCTGGACCCTAGATGAACTCCTCTTCCCCCAGCAATCTGGAGACTTCTTCCTGAGAAGGGATGTGGCTCCTGTCCCTTTAATTCAGGTGAACAGTCACTAGTAGGGGGCTAATCTGGATAACCACCAGAGTGCTTCTCATATCTGCCCAGGGGGTGCAGGTGAACTCACTCAGATCCTCTCCTGTACCACTTGTGGGTTGGCTGCTACTACCAGTCCTATCAGCTGGGCTGCTACATCCCCTGCCATACAGGTGGTCCTCTCTCAGGAGGCCAGTGGGCTCCAAACTTTCCTCCTATCCAACTCCAGGCTTGCAGGCAGGACCCATCCCACTAGGCCTCCTTCCTCCAGCCTCACATCTTCCACCTGACTGCTCACACTCCACTCCCCACTCCTACTACTGAGCAGGATCTTACACTATTAAGGGAGTCCCAGCCCCTTGCAAGCCTTCTGTTGGGGATTGGCTGAAGTCCCTGAAGAGTGCAGCCTGGCTGGCTCCTCAGACCCACCCACTTCCTCCAAGGCCCTCTTCCAAAAGGTTCAAAACAGGGGAATCCCAGAGGGGCTGCCTGTAGAGTCCCTCAGCCCTGACCACAATTTGACCCCTCTGGCTATCACACCATTAGGGTGTAGCTCCCCCTGGCTGAAGTAGGAGGGCGCTACAATGTATAATGTTGTGTCTCAAAAGTCTCACTTCACTATAATTGTTGTATGTCTATATGAGCTAGAAGGAATCACTCTCCTGTGGTCGACTCTAAACATTAGAGCTCCCCCTAGCTGCAGCCTGGTAATGACATTGCTGGGAGGTCTGTTCAGTTATCTGCTCCATACTTCCCGTCTTTATATACTATAATACAATACAATACAATATGATACAATATGATATAATAGAATACAATATGATATAATACAATACAATATAATATACTAGAATATAATATAATACAATACAATATGATACAATATAATATAATACAATACGATATAATACAATATAATACAATATGATATAATAGAATACAATATGATATAATATGATATAATACAATACAATACAATATAATACAATATGATATAATACAATATGATACAATACAATATGATACAATACTATATAATACAATACAATATAATACAATACAATACAATATATCTCCTGACATTACTAGGAGGTCTGTTCAGTTATCTGCTCCATACTGCCCGTCTTTATACAGTAATACAATACAATATAATACAATACGATATAATACAATATGATATAAACAATACGATATAATACAATACAATATAATACAATATGATACAATACAATACAATACAATACAATACAATATGATATAATACAATATGATATAATACAATATAATACAATATGATATATATACAATACAATACAATACAATACAATACAATATAATATAATACAATACGATATAATACAATATAATATAATACAATATGATATAATAATAATACAATATATTATAATACAATATGATATAATACAATATAAAACAATACAATATGATATAATACAATACAATACAATACAATATAATACAATATGATATAATACAATATAAAACAATACAATATGATATAATACAATACAATACAATACAATATAATACAATATGATATAATATAATACAATATATTATAATACAATATGATATAATACAATATAAAACAATACAATACAATATAATATAATACAATACAATACAATATGATATAATACAATATAAAACAATACAATACGATACAATATGATACAATACATCTCCTGACATTTAGGGGTCTATTGATAAAACCTTTGTTAGCAGAGCGCTCAGTGACAAAGCATGTACATTCCTTCTGTATAAATGGGGAACAATTTAAAATGATATTTGACCTGAAATGGAAAATGTTGCCTTTTGTTAGAATTTCTATGAGGAAGATCATATTCTCATCGTTTCCCCGGGTTGAACCATGGGAGGTATTATACCAAATAATAGACAAGGGTCATTTTCAGGTCTCAAAGTCCCGCAAGGGACAAACTTCTCCCCAACTGAAGTATTTAGTTCTGTGTATAGAGAAGGAATGGAAGCCGGGACCCCTCAGTGCAGGAACAAGGGGGAGGGTGATTACAAACACCAAATAATCCCGTGGTGGTCCCCACATCCTCTAGTCTAGCTGAGATGTCATTGTTCTGCCAACGAGAAGGATGAACAAGATGAAGAGACGCGGTATATGGAAGTATTCTCTACGTTTCTGCAGACACAGGGGCCATTATTCCAAGCTGAGGGATTCTGGGAGTGTCACGACCCGCGGTCGCCACCCTCCAACAGGGGGACAATCGCACGACCGCGACTAACAGTAATACGTCACACCCCAGACCTTCTCACCAAACTCGTGACCCAAGGACCGGCCGATCTAAAACCGCGGTGTGACGCGCGTAACAAGGCCCCACCCAGCTGCACCCTACACAGCGATTGCCCAGCTAATGGACTACAATCGGTGCCTGCAGCCTGAATGCGCTTGTTACTGGGTCGGGTTAATTACGCAACTAACCCTCTACTGCCACCACCACTTTTGTCGGAGACGGGGAAACTCCCGTTATCAAATATACACTGTAATGATTGAAATATTGATCTATATAGCACGGCCCGCGGACCTGCTATACAGAGATATACAAACAGTAGCGTCTCTTCAAAGGCAGGGATTCGTGAATTGCAAGTAAGCGCTTAGAAACAGTTTAACACTTTCAGAAAGAAAGATTTATTACTAAAAGAGTCAAACCGGTGCGATACAATATTTACAAAGAGATGTCACAAAAATATATATATATATGTATATAAAGACACAGCAAAGAGATAATTAGGAAGAAGATTACAGGGTTGAGTTACTTGCCCATATGCCTGGGTTTGCAGATCCAAGTGCAGAGCAGAAAGGTTCTTTGATCTCCTCTGTTACGATGTTACCTCGGAGATCTCTGTGTGTCTGTGTGTGTAACTCACTTGTCTCTCTTAAACATCCCTCTCAAAGGGGAGGGGGGGCTCTTACTACACGTTTTGGGAGTGGTCATGGGAAACTAAACTAACTACAACTCATCCCCCATGATATAGAGCATACAGTTCACCTGAGGAATGTGCAATTATCTTATCTTCAGTAAGATGGGGGAGGAAGTACACTTTACAGCCTTTATCGACTGCTGGACGCAGGATGTCCTAACCTGGTTGACCCCCCACACCATCTGCCAGAAGATACTTTGCCTCTCAGGAAGGGAGGAGGGTAGGAATGAGGCTGAGGAATGCCTCAAGTAAACAGACAGAACACGAAAAAGAGTTGAAGGAGAACTCCGCTCCAACAAGGATGAGCATGTTTGCCACAGGGAGAGCTTGGGAATAAACATCACAATGGAAGAGTTTCTGTTCTAAAAATGTAATGAGGACAAGAGAAGTCCCACATCATGGACTATAGTAGGAATGACAACTCTACAAAGCTGCACACCCTCCTCCATGTCTATGGATCCATCTAGGGATCTTCTCATGATTCTCATATCTATAGATGACTGGCTGACATGGCTGAATGAATGCTGGTCATAGTAGTTCATCTATTCTCTAAGTGGGGTGGTATCTATTGGGCCAATCCCTTTTACAAACCACACATAATATCGCCCTTCAAAGTGAAAACAGAAACGATTTTCACAAAATCAAAGAGTAGAAATATTTTCCGGTGGATCCCCTCTACCCAGACCCCATATGTAGACATAGAACAACAAGCTGTGTTCCCTCTCGTGCCGCACTCCTCCAACCACCCAAACCCACACAGAAGCAAAGGGAAATATTGAAAGGAAAGTTCCCCCCTAGTTTGGGGCGGAGTTCTCCTTCCCTCCTGTTGGGGGATGGGAGAAGGATGGACTGAAGACAGAGAGACGCTTCGGGGTCACCACTGTTCTGTAGAGCCTTGAAATGAAGGACATCAACTTCAGAAGTTCTTGTTGTCTGTGTAAAGTTCCCCGATAACCAGATCTGGGCTCTCCCGGCTTCTAGCTCTGTAACCCGCTATATCATTATCAGGAAACGCAACTCCGACACCCAAGAAGGGCTGAAGTTGTGTCCTTCATTTCCAGGATCTACTGACCACTCTGCACCCCGACATTTACTGCACTTCATCCATGTCTTTGGGGGCCTCTCATCTCCTTATCAACTGTTTCTTCCATGATGAAGATCAGCCATGGAGTATATCTGAGGTGTATATCAGGGTGTGCTTCTTCCCCACATGAGAGCTGGGATGTCCAGCAACATTCATCTAGAAGACATTTCCCGCACTCAAGGCACTAATACACCTCCAGGGTTGTGTTGGACCCCTGATGTACAGGAAGACAGGACTTCAGTGAGGAACATTTCCCTCACTCAGGACAGGAAAGTGGATTCTTCCCTTTGTGAGATCTCTGATGTCTGTAAAGGTGGGAATTTTGTGAAAAACATTTCCCGCACTCCAGACAGAAATATGGCTTTTCCCCTGTGTGAGATCTCTGATGTGTGTGAAGATGGGACTTCCGCGAAAAACATTTCCCACACTCAGGACAGGAATATGGCTTCTCCCCCGTGTGAGATCTCTGATGTTTATGAAAACAAGACATCTCTGAAAAACATTTTCCACACTCAGAACAAGAATACGGATTCTCCCCCGTGTGAGATCTTTGATGTTTGGAAAGAATGGACTTCCGTGAAAAACATTTCCCGCACTCAGGACAGGTATACGGCTTCTCCCCTGTGTGAAAGCTCTGATGTGCGATAAGATGCCATTTCTGTGAAAAACATTTCCCACACTCAGGACAGGAATAAGGCTTCTCCCCCGTGTGAGATTTCTGATGTGTGTTAAGCCTGGACTTCACTGAAAAACATTTCCCACACTCAGGACAGGGATATACCTTCTCTCCTGTGTGAGATCTCAGATGTATGTTAAGACTGGACTTGCCTAAAAAACATTTCCCGCACTCAGGACAGGAATATGGCTTCTCCCCCGTGTGAGTTCTCTGATGTGTGTTAAGCCTAGACTGCACTGAAAAACATTTCCCACACTCAGGACAGGGATATACCTTCTCTCCTGTGTGAGATCTCTGATGTATGTTAAGACTGGACTTGTCTGAAAAACATTTCCCACATTCAGGACAGTTATACGGCTTCCCCCCTGTGTGCAATCTCTGATGTGTGTAAAGATCAGACTTCTTTTGAAAACATTTCCCACACACAGGACAAGAATACGGCTTCTCCCCTGTGTGAGATCTCTGATGTATGTTAAGACTGGACTTGCCTGAAACACATTTCCCACCCTCAGAACAGAAATACAGTTTCTCCCCCGTGTGTGATCTCTGATGTATGTTAAGACTGGACCTATGTAAAAAACATTTCCCGCACTCAGGACAGGAATATGGCTTCTCCCTGGTGTGAGATCTCTGATGTTTGTACAGATTGGACTTTGTTGAAAAACATTTCCCACACTCAGGACATGAATAAGGCTTCTCCCCCGTGTGAGATCTCTGATGTGTGTAAAGACTGGACTTGTCTGAAAAACATTTCCCACACTCAGGGCAGAAATACGGCTTCTCCCCCGTGTGAGATCTCTGATGTGTGTAAGATTGGACTTCCTTGAAAAACATTTTCCGCACTCAGGCAGGAAATACGGCTTCTTCTCCGTGTGAGATCTTTGATGTGTGTAAAGATTGACCTTTCTGAAAAACATTTTCCCGCACTCAGGACAGGAATATGGCTTCTCCCCCGTGTGAGTTCTCTGATGTGTGTGTAAGAGTTGACTTGATCGAAAACATTTCCCGCACTCAGGACAGGAATACGGCTTCTCCCCTGTGTGAGATCTCTGATGTGCGTACAGATTGGACTTCTTTGAAAAAAACCCCTTCCCACACTCAGTACAGGAGAACCTCTTCCCTGTTGGAAGGCCGGCCGGTCCCGCACAGTCTGAGGTTCCTCAGGATACGAGGAATCCGATGGTCCATCTACACTGGGTGGTGCCGGATGGACATTGGAGGGAGCCGGGTTTTCTCCTGGACTATACTGTGTGATGTCCTCATCTTCTACTTTCCAGTCTGGAGACAAAGTGAGACAATCCTCGGAGGTTTTCCTCATCTCCCGGCCATGGACTAAAATACAAAGACAAAGAGGATTACTAGACAGGAGCTGATTGGTTCCCCCAAACCAGGACTCCGCCCACATCAGGCAGCTTGGTCTCTGAGGAGCTTACAATTCCACCCTCAAGGGAACTAGGAAATGGCTCCTCTGATCTCCTACCAGGTCATTTCTTTATTCATGGACCTTAGTCAGAGAGTGAGGAAACAACCAGAACTGTCTTTTATAGGAGGGACAGTGATGAGGGGATTATAGGACGAGGGTCCCCACCCCCTCTATCACTCATCGCCATCTTCCCAACACAAGAAGTACTGCACTTCCTTATTTAGTCCATGATTTAGTCATGAAGAACAGCGGGGCTGAGCCCCACCAGAGGTCAGAGAGTGAGGATGGGGGGAGAACAACCAAGATGAAGACTGGACTGATCCTGAAGACCACCATCATTGGGGTATTGACTCCTCCCTCATTATCACTTTCTGTTTAAGGGTCCAAAGTTGGAGGATGTTATCACATTATTATCACCATGTAAAAGTCTGTGCTCCAATCACATCATCCGATATAAAATGTCCAGCTGGGAGGAAATGGGGTAACAAAAGAGAATCCATATTATGTGTATATATAGCAGTGGGGGGAGGGGGAGAGCAGAAGTCAGGACTATGGAATGTACAACATGGAGTATATAGTGCAGGGGTCAGGAGGATGTAATGTACAACATAGAGTATATAGTGCAGGGGTCAGGAGTATGTAATGTACAACATAGAGTATATAGTGCAGGGGTCAGGAGTATGTAATGTACAACATAGAGTATATAGTGCAGGGGTCAGGAGTATGTAATGTACAACATAGAGTATATAGTGCAGGGGTCAGGAGTATGTAATGTACACAACATAGAGTATATAGTGCAGGGGTCAGGAGGATGTAATGTACAACATAGAGTATATAGTGCAGGGGTCAGGAGTATGTAATGTACAACATAGAGTATATAGTGCAGAGGGCAGGAGGATGTAATGTATAACATAGAGTATATAGTGCAGGGGTCAGGAGGATGTAATGTACAACATAGAGTATATATAGTGCAGGGGTCAGGAGTATGTAATGTACAACATAGAGTATATAGTGCAGGGGTCAGGAGTATGTAATGTACAACATAGAGTATATAGTGCAGGGGTCAGGAGTATGTAATGTACAACATAGAGTATATAGTGCAGGGGTCAGGAGATGTAATGTACAACATAGAGTATATAGTGCAGGGGTCAGGAGTATGTAATGTACAACACACAGAGTATATAGTGCAGGGGTCAGGAGTATGTAATGTATAACACAGAGTATAAAGTGTAAGGGTCATGATTGTCCATTTGAAGGCCAGGCCTTTTTTGAAGTAAAAATCAGTATTTTTTGCTGTGAAATTACTTAGAAGCATAAAACATATCAAAGACGCCGCTTTAAAAGCCTTTCCAGGTTACCAGTTTGGAGTTACAGAGGAGGTCTGGTGCTGGAATTATTTCTCTCTCCCTCTGATGATTGCGGGCAATACCTCAAGTGTGGGACAATCTCTGTATACGTACCAATGCAGGACTGATGGCTGGGTTTGCCTTTACACACAAGAAACGGTGGGACGGGCACTTTACATTTTGTTTCCTAATTTTTAACCTATTTCTTTAATTTTGAATCACTTTATTGCTGACACTAGGAATGTAAACATCCTTTGTGACAGCAATAGACAGTGACAGGTACTCTTTATGGAGAGATCTGGGGTCTATTAGACCCTGGATGTTTCCTCTGCCCTGGCAAGCATTGGTGTGGTCAGATACTTTCCAAATTTCAAAATGGCGCCATTTACAAGTGAGATAATGTAAGAGTGAGGACTACATAATGTACAATAAAATCATATAATAAAGGGTCAGGACTCATAATATTGTATTCAGTAATCAGTGGAAGATGAAATGTTTCCTGGAGACAAGTTGCAGAGATCCCACACCGCTGCCTCCCATCTCCTGAGACTGCACTCAGTGACTTGGGTCTGAGACACTACAGACATATCCCTCCACCCGGCACAGCCAGCAGACCACAGAGCAAGGAACCCTGGGAGAAATGTTCTTTTTTTTTTAATTTAAATATTTATTTATTTTCCATATATAATACATATTTCATAATTATTCTCATACAAAAAACCATTTCCATATCATTAATAACATTTCTTACTATCTTTATTCCCATTTACCTCCCCCCTCTATCTAATTTCCCCTCCTCCCTAAATAAAACCCCCCTCCCCCCATGTAAACCCACCCACTCTGCATTGTTCTATTACCTCTTTTCCCAACGAGGATAGAGAATATATAATCCTTCCACCTCTCTCACACTACTACTTCATATATTTCACCATAAATTCTTCCCATTTTCTCCACCTCTTAGAGAATAACCCCATCTTGTCTTCCTGCATATAATACAATTTCTCCATCCTACATATCTGATTCGTTCTCTCCACCCAATCCTCTATCTTGGGCACCTCTGATCTATGCCAGAACTTAGGTATCAGACCCTTCGCCGCATTCAGATAGCACCATATACCCGAGTCCTTGTATTTATTTACTGATAGCTCTGTACTATGTAGTAGACACTTCTGGGTCCAGTCCTATCTTTATCCCAGAGATATTCTCAATTAGTTGGACAATTATCTCCCAGAAACCTTGGATCTTCGGGCACTCCCACCATATATGATATGACGTGCCTATCTTTCCACATCCCCTCCAGCACTCTACTGTATTTTCCCCACATATCTTATACTCAACCTTCGGTGTAATGTGCCATCTCGTTAAACACTTATAATTTACCTCCACCTCCCTCATACTTATATTCTCGTGTATTAGTCTATATATTTTCCTTTGTTTATCATCATCTATCTCTATTCCCAAATCTCTTTCCCATTTTACTATATACATTGGCTTTGTGTGAGTGTCTAACTCAGTGAGGATCTTATAAATCTTTGCCGTACCCCGCCTCCCGTCACCTCGTGTTTCCAACAACCTCTCAAACAGATTCCAATCCTTTCTCAATCTCATCGTTTTGGAAGGTTTCTGACAAAGTGTTTTAATTGGTGATATCTCACACTCATCTATTTTAATGAAGAGTTCCCTTTTATCTTTTTTCAAATCCTTAAGTGTTCTCAATTCCTGTCCTTCCATAATATCTCTCAATTGGATATCTTCTTTTTTAAACCATTTTCCTGTGCTCTCCTCCTTACCTGGAGGAAAAATAATCCGTGTTCCTCAGTGATATTAATTGTGAATTAAAATCCCATTTCATAAGTTTGTGCAATTTATCCCAAACCTTTAAAACATTTAATGTAAAAACACTCGTGGTATCTTTTAACCCTCTATATTGTGCTGGTGCCCATATAATTCTACTCAGGGTAACTCCACTTAGTTCATTCTCAATCTGAACCCACCTTTTCCCCTCTGAGTTATGTATCCAATCATACATTCTCGCTAGGACTGCTGCTCTATAATACCTCTTAATATCTGGCACTCCCAAACCTCCCTTCTCCTTTTTTCTACTTAACAAGTCATATGATATTCTAGGTTTTTTATTTTTCCATATGTATTTTGTTAACATCCTTTTTATTACTTTAAAAAAGACCTCCGGGATTTTGACTGGAATCATCTGGAATTTATAGAGGATTTTTGGTACAATTATCATTTTTATCAGGTTTATACGGCCTATCCAAGACGGATTGCCTCCTCCCAATCTCCTTAGTTCCTCCTTGATCTCATTTAAGAGTGGGATATAGTTTAATTTATACAGGTTCGTATATGAAGCAGAAAGTTTAACCCCCAAATACTTTATCGCTCTATTTTTCCATATAAAAGGGAATTCTTTTTGTATTTTTTCTTTTTCACTGTTTGGAAGGTTTACATTTAAGATCTCAGTTTTTGTTGGATTGATTTTCAAGTTTGATAGCTCCCCATAATCCTTTAAGCTCTTCATTAGATTTGGGAGTGTTATCCTAGGATTTGCCACATAAAACAACAGGTCATCCGCAAAGGCAGCTACTTTATGTTCGACTTCCCCTATCTGCACTCCTTTTATATCTATATTCTTCCTAATAGTTGCCAATAAAGGTTCCAATGCCAATACATACAACAATGGGGACAGTGGACATCCCTGTCTAGTTCCATTTGACATCCCAATAGGTTCCGACCTCTCTCCATTAACCATGACAACCGCTGAGGGCTCTCTATATACAACTTTCCTATCCACTCTCTCATTCTTACTCCCATTCCTAGAGTTTCCAGGGTATCCATCATAAAGCCCCGAACTACTCTATCGAATGCCTTTTCAGCATCGATGGAAAGCACTACTACCGGGGTTTTCCCCTTCCTAGCTTTTTGGATAAGCAACAGAGTTCTCAGCCCATTATCTCTACCCTCCCTCCCTGGGAGAATTGTTCTGTCAGGGATCTTACTAGACCCGGACATGGGGAAGAAAATCCAAAGCACATACCCCAGGTGTCTAGGTC